CTACCTTAAACAACGAGCACAGACTTTTCTGTATTCACACCTCATAGTTCAGTGAAAATAGAGCGTTTGCCTTACATATGCCAGTGGGTGAGTGCACACACGCCAACCTACTGCTAATGATTGCATCCAAGTCGGATCTAACAGGACTCCAAACCTTTCAAGCGTTTTTACTAAGTCGTACTGTAGAGAAGAATGATTCTTGCCACCTCCCTGTTACTGCAGTAGGTACCACAGCCTGTTGGGTGGAGAGTAGTAGTCCTGGATGCTGAAGGCAGATCTTTCCTAGTGTTCCTGCATGCAAGCATTCCTTCCTCCTATCTCCTTGTCGCTCTGCTCTCTCTCTCCTCATCTCAAACCTTGCTTTACTTCGGATCAAGAGCGAATAGAGACCCAACGCTATGCTTTAGAAAATCCGATCGCTCAGGAGCCCTTCCTCCTAGCGCCTTATCACGTGTGACAGATAGGTTATATTTTATTAAGCCTGACTTGTTCTACCATCCTGACGGCCCATTTACTGTGTTATTAATTATAATGGTAATGTGAAAAATAACGGTAGTTGTTTGGTCAACTTGACACAAACTACGGGTCGTCTAGGAAGAGAAACCTCAACTGAGAAAAATGCCTCCACTAGATTGCCTGTAGGCAAGTGGGGAGCATTTTCTAGGAGGATAACTGAGAGGAGGGCCCAGCTCACTACAGTGTCACCCTGTGGAAGAAAGTAGGCTGAGCAAGGAAGTAAACAGTGCCCCTCCATGGTCTCTGCTTCAGTTCTTGCCTTTGGGTTTTTGCCTTGACTTCCCTTTATGATGGACTTACGATCTGTAACATGAAATAAACCCTTTCCTCCCAAGATTGCTTTTGCTCATGATGTTTATCACATCGGTGCAAAGCAAATTAGAGCCGGGCGGTGGTGGCGCACACCTTTAATCCCGGCACTCAGGAGGCAGAGGCAGGCGGAGCTCTGAGGATTCGAGGTTCAGCCTGGCCTAAAAAGGGAGGAAACTAGGGCAAAACATGCACTGTTGTGTGTGTGTGTGTGTGTGTGAGAGAGAGAGAGAGAGAGAGAGAGAGAGAGAGAGAGAGAGAGAGAGAGTATGTGGTGGGGTATACACAAGTGTGTGTGTGTGTGTGTGTGCTGTATGCATTCATGTTCATGTGTATGTGGTGGGGTATACACAAGTGTGTGTGTGCTATATGCATTCATGTTTATGTGTGTGGTGGCGTATACACAAGTGTGTGTGTGTGTGTGTGTGTGCGCGTGCGCATTCATGTTCATGAGAGAGTTTGATGCGAAGGGGAAGGGACAAAACTGGATTAAGAAAATGCCTTGTGCCTTTAGCAGTTGGCAGAAATTTCTCCCCTAAACATTTACAGACGATGTAATTCCGCAGTTTTGTTTCTCGTAAGCCATATACCTCCGCTAAAAGAGTCTTGTTTTTCACCAACAAGCTGGCAAGGTCAGGATGGACTGGGTCCGTTGCCTTATTGTTGTATGTGATTGGGTTCCTGGTAGGAACCACTTCAAGAGGTGGATCAAAACGGGCCTATAAAGAGAAAGGGCCAGTTAATTAACTAAGAATGTGCCCTGAGGGTCAAAACCCACAAACGTTATAGCCACACAAACTCTTACAATAAGTAGCGACAAACGGGGCTGTCCGAGTAAACTGAACGGCTTCCAGGAAAATGGCAAGGATCTTGCTGGCTGGGAAACTGCTTTACACTCTTCTAAATGGAATGCTTACCTGTCAACAGTTTCTACTAGCCAGCAGGTGCAGCCTGTCTGAATCGTGTGCTGGGGTCTCTGAAAGTACAGGAATCACGAAAACACAGAAAACCTCTGGAGACATTTTCACGTGTGTCTGCTAACACTACAGAGGGCTGGGGAAGAGGCTCGGCAGGTAAGAGCGCTGGCTGCACTGGCTCAAGGTCAGGAGTTCAGATTCCTGCATCCGGGTAACAAGTCCTGGTCCTGAATACACCTGTAGCCTGCCCTGAGCAGGTGAGAGTGGAGACGGGATTATTTCTGGGGCTTGCAGTCTGCCAGCCTAGACAGATAGACAACCGCAAGCTCCAAGTTCAGGGAGTGACCCTGCCCCAGAGGAAGAGAGTAGAGGATAATGAAGGAGGACACCCAACTGCTCTTCTGACCTCCAAGTGCATGTGCAGATGTACACAGACGCATACATATGTGTACATACACCACACACACATACACACAAATAGAAACGCTGTAAGAATTTTTAAAAAATAGTTTCTGAAGAGATGACTCGTTCTAGGGGATCAAATAATCTCTTCTGACCTCCAAGGACACCAGGCATGCATGTGGTGCAAATACACATATAAAAGCAAAATATTCATGCACATAAAATATATCTAAAGAGAAAAAAAGTGAGCAATAGTCCCTAGGGGCTGGAGAGATATTAAGAGTGCTATGCTGCTCTTCCAGAGGATCCAAGTTCAGTTCCCAGCAACCAACCTGGGTGGTCCACAACCACCTGCAATTCTACCCAAGATATCTGATTGCTTCTGACCTCTGAGGGCCCCTATACTCATGTGCAAGAACATGCACACATGCACACACACACACATACAAAATAAGTCTTTTTTCTTTTAAAAAAGTAGTTTCTAAAAAGAAAAGGATGGAAAAAAGGTAGCTAATGGAAAACCAGGCATGGCAGCATACACCTGCTATCCTAGCATTCAGGAGGTGGAGGGATAAAGATAAGAGACATTCCAGGTCATTCTCACTATGTGCTGTGTTTGAGAGCAGCCTAGACATAAGACAGATAATTACAGACAACAATCAAAGTGATTTCTCACTAATTACACAGAAACTGGAAAGCAACAGAATGGTAACTTTAATGTATTAAGAAAAAGTATCATCTTTCATCCATTCTGAGAAGTATAAATTTTAATACTTTCCTTTTTGGAGTTGTGTGTGTGTGTGTGTGTGTATGTGTGTGTGTGTTTGCATGTGTTTCCCTAGGTGCTGTCCACCTTAGTTTTTGAGATGTCTCTCACCAGCTTTTTGCTCGTCCAGTAGGGATCTGTCTGTGCAAGTCTCTACAATGCTGGAATTATAAGCACATTTGACTTGTGCCTGTGGGTTTCATGTGGATGTCGGAAACCTACCTCAGGTCCTCGTGGTTACGCTATAAGCAGTTTACCAAGGGAGCTATCTCTCCAGCCACCCATATTTTCTTATCTTGGCAGTTGGGTGCTATCTTAAAGAGGAGACAGTTCATATTGTTCACACTTAGCTGGAAACAAACTTTCAAATTTACAACAGTGTATAAAATAAAAGTATTTCCTAAAAAAAAAATCAATGAAATACCAGAAATGTCACCCAGTATATCATACTGAATTAAATTATGTTTGGGTGTTTGTTTGTTTGAGACAAGGTTTAACTTTACAGTGTGACCCTCCTGTTTACCAAGTACTTGAGTTACATGCCTAGTTTATGTTTTAATATTAAGAATAGATGCCCTCAGTGGTGAAGCAGGTCTTTAATCCCAGCACTTGGGAGGTAAAGGCAGATGAATCTCTGAGTTTGAGGCCAGTCTGATCTACAGAGAAAGTTCCAGGACAGCCAGGACTACACAGAGAAACCCTGTCTCAAGAAATCAAAAGAATAGAATAAAGACATTTTATACAAACAAACATTGAGTTTACTACAATGTGTCCTTACTTTAAAAAGCTTAAGCCGAGCATATGTCTTTACTCCCAGCACTTGGGAGACAGAGGCAGGCAGATCTTTGAGTTCAAGGCCAGCCTGGTCTAATGAGTGAGTCCCAGAACAGCCAAGAATAGCTAAGGCTACATAGAGAAACCCTGTCTCAAAACAACCAACCAACCACCAAAGGAAAGAAAAAAAAAAAACACCAAAAGAACCCAAACATTTCTAAAGATGAAAGAAAACAAACAAAAAGGAGAAGACATGCTAGGTCAACCACAGAATGTTACCAAAAACAGTGGGGAGGGAATACAGAAAGAAAAAGAAAATAGCAGTAACCAATGTGAGTGCTAAATTGTAATATATGAGGTAGAAAATAAAGATACTAGACAAAAAAGAAAAAAAGAAAGAAAGAAAGAAAAGAAACGAAAAAAAGAAAAGAAAATGAAAACGAAAACAAAGGCTGCGCTAAGGGATGGTCCAGTGGTTACCTCCAGGGCTGATGGGGCAGGGACAGGAAGGCTGAGGTTGCTGGCTTCTACCCTAGCAACCATGTTCAGAGAGACATTGCCTCAAAAGAATAAGACAGAGGGTGACAGAGGAGGCTACCCAATTCCCTGTGTAGGCACATGTGGACATACACCACACATAATTACACACATCACAAACGTACAACACACACACACCAGAAAAGCAGTGTGGTGGTTTGAACAAGGAATGCCACCCCCTTGGACTCAAGCATCTGAACATGGTCCCCAGGTGGTGGCGCTGCTCGGAGAGGTATAGGGAGGTGCTGTGGGAGGGCTCAGTGAAGTTAAACTCTCTGGCCACTTCCAGCTGGATCTCTGCTCCTTGTTTATGGTTGACATGTGATCACTCAGCTTTGCTCCTGCCATCACACCTGCTTGCTTGCTTACTCCCCGCTGTGATGGACTCTTACCTCCAGAGTCGTAAGCCAAAATAAACTCTTCCACAAGTTTCTTTCTGTTGTGCTATTTTATCATAGCAACAGAAAAAGTAACTAATACAAACAAGTTTTCTTTCTTTCTCTCTAAAAGTGTTTTATATTTATTTATTTATCTAGAGACATAATCTCACTATGTAGGCCGGATTGTCCTGGCACTAGCTCTGTAGACCAGGCTGGCCTCGAACTCACAGAGATCCACCTGCCTCTGCCTCCCAAGTGCTGGATTTAAATGCGTGCGCCACCACCGCCCAGCCCCAAACTAGATCTTTTTTTTTTTTTTTTTTTAGTGGAGATTCTTTTCCCATTGTATTTTGCTCAAGACATTTCCTCAAAAATAAGCTGAGAACCATGGGATTGAGAAGCAAGACCTCAGAAACAGGGCGACTGAGCACAAGAGGGATTGGGGACGGGAGGGAAATGACTGCAACTTGCTCCCAGGGACTGGAGAAATTTAAAAAATAAAAAGAAAATAAAAAAGAGAGTCAGAATCCATCAGTCTTCTGTGCTAGTCATCCTCGCCTTCATCCTCCTCTCCTTCTTCCCCTTCATCATCATCTTCATCTTCATCTTCTTCCCCTTCATCTCCTTCTTCCCCTTCATCATCATCTTCATCTTCATCTTCTTCCCCTTCATCTCCTTCTTCATCAATATCTTCCAAGCCTTTTTCTTCTTCATCAGCATCGTCATCATCTTCTGCCTCTCCCTCTTCATCGTCCATATCAGGAACCAAATAGTACTGCAAGGGGTTTGGCCAAATGTCGTCTTTGATGACCTCTCCTAACTCATCTGCACCTGCATCAGAGTGGTCAGTAAACCAGGTAAAGAAGCTCTCTGGCTCTTCGTGTTGTCTCTTCCTGCTGGCCTTATTCTGTGTTTGACTCGAGCGTTTTGTCAAATCCTTTCCAGATTTCCATTTGATTTCAGTGGACTTTGAGGATGGGTCACCACTCTCATTCAGATGAAATTCTCTGGAGAGAACTTTATTTTCAAAGTAGGGATTTTCATCAAAATAAAAATCTACTCTGTAACCTGATTTAATGTCTTCGAATTCTGTTACTTCAACTCTGGTTAAATAATGCAGAGCCTCTTCGTCTTCCTCCCCAAGCAGTGCAGACACTTGTGGATGGTTGACAAATGTGGTTACCCAAAAATTTGGGATTTTAGCAATCAATTCTGACCTCTTCTGAAAAAACGGTTGGCGGAGTTTGTTATATTTTTGTTCTACTTTTAGTATTTCCTCACTTGCTTGTTCATTAAGTCTGTCTATTTCATTTTGTACTTCGTCAATGTGTTCAATTGCTTCTTGCTGTTCTTTTTCTGAGGTCTCGTCGGCCCCGTCGTGGTTGGAGTTGAGCTCCTTTTTACTGGCTTTGGCCGTCGGCGCCGACATGGTGCCCTCCGCGGTCCCAAACTAGATCTTAAGAATACTTGCTCTCAAAGAAAATGAACTGCTTCCTTTGACTTTACTGTTGAGACAGAGATTCGCTATATTGCCCAGGATGACCACTTAATTGTGAATCCCAGTGGCCCTGCTGGTGATTCAGTCTCCCAAGCAGTTGAAAGTATATACTACTATGCATTACAGTATGTTGCTTGAAATCTGGGTCTCAAACCAGGCCTCTTGTGTTATGATGTCATAGTTAAACAAAATTAATTAAAAATAAGATGACAATTACTTTATTAATATAAATGTTATACTGTTTATATTCATTATAAAATATTGAAAATGGCCAAGTCTTGTTTGTTTGTTTGTTTGTTTTGAGACTAGGTCTCATGTAGCCCAGGCTTGCTTCAAACTTACTATATTGCTGAGAACATCTTTGAATTTTTGACCCTATTGCCTCTGATTCCCAAATGCTAGGGTTGCAGGCATGTGTGCCCCACCTGAGGATCCAACCCCAGGGCTGTCTGCATTCCAGGGAAGCATTCTACCAACTGAGCTGTACCTCCAACCACACCAAGTGCTTTCAAATTCCCAGACAAATCCGGGAGCACTGAGATATTTGGAAAGAATTCAACTGCTAAAGATTGAAGAACAGTATCATTTCGTATTGTGTCACTTACTTAAAATTTTTAATTAATGTACAAAATAATGGTTTTCATCATGACATATTTAGGTACTTGGCTTCTATCATTTATTTTTTAATGCAATGTGTTGCTTTTCCTAATAAAGACACTAATTAGGTTTGTCTTCATTTAAAACCATAGAAAATATAATACTTCCTTAAATCTCCATCTGCATCTCTCCAACTCTCAGCTCAGGATTCAACTGGGTGCATCTTTCTGGTGCTCTTGAAATGGAAGGGTTATCATCTGCTCTGAGAAGATTTAAACTCCAGAAAAATTCCCATTAAGGTCACAAAACCAGCCTGTAAACCCAGCAGCACTGTAGTGCACTAGAGAGATAGAACTGGACCATCTGGTGTTGCTACTAAATCACCGTGGTCCATCCCAGGTGGGGTTTCCTGATCTACAAAATAATGGTCAGAGATTCTCTGCAGGTCCCTCATTTTGACTGGGAGTAACGGGCACTGGTAAATGGAACTACCAAAAAGGCAAGCCCCAAACTTACTGGAGGTCTCGCTAGATCCAGTTGTTTCACGTTTTCTTGTTACTGAGGAATCAGCCAGGGGCAGGGTGCCCCAGATGGCTCAGCAGGTAAAGGCACCTGCTGCTCAGCCTGAAAACCCATGTTCTGTCCCCGGGACTCACACGGTGGAGAGAACTGACTCTCACAGGTTGTCTGCCTCTGACCACCACACACGCACAAGAGACATAAAAGTATAGGTGGGAGAGGCCTGGTATGGCGGCCTACCTGTACTCCCCGCACTGGGGAAACAGAGGCAGGAGGATCAGCGTTAAGTGTGAAGATCGCTTGACTGCATAGCATCAGGTCAGCCACGCAGACAGTCTGAAAAAATCAGAGCTAGGTATGGGGGCTCACACCGACAGTTCTAGCACTTTAGAGGGTGATGTGGGAGGAGACATAAATGCGAGGGGTAGCCTGGGCTATCTGGTGAGACTATGCCTCAGAAAACAAACAAAAGTGGGATGTTTAACCTCTTTTCTTTTCTCTGCATTTGGTTGCACATGTGTGATGGAGCGTGTGCCCCTGATTGCATGTGGTGGTCAGAGGCCGACTTTCTGGAGTTGGTTCTCTCCTTCCACCTTGTGGAAGGAATCAAACTCAGGCCATTGGGCCGATGCACAAACAGCTTTACCTGCTGAACTCTGCCAGCAGACCCCTGAATTTATCTTGTGAGATTTCTAGCAAAGAAATGCTAAGTTCATCAGCGAATGGGCAGCCAGGAGTGAACCTCCCGTTCCTTGGGCTAGCTCTCAACAGCATCTAAGTGATATTTTTCTTCCTTTGGAAAATGGGGACCAAATACTAGGGTACCACTCACCCCTGGGACATTTTCCTGAGCTGATAGATGTGATAGGTGTCTGGTTTCTGATGGTTCCGTCTCACAGGTCTCTTTGGTTTGGCTGTTAGCAAGCCTTCCCGGATCTGAGTGACTTACAGACTGGAGTGACATTGCCATGCTGGAGATATCGGAAGCATGAAATGAAGCCGCTAATGGTGACCCACGGTGCTTCCAAGGGAAGCTTCTGTATAGCACTCAGGAAGAGGTGATGAGGCCTGGCCTGAGCCAACAGCAAAGACGGCCAGAAGGTTCCAGAAGTGTCTCAGTGCGTAGTCAGGCCTCAGGAGGAGCTGCCTGCTGAACTTGATTCTTGAAGACAATGTGGACCTAGTTTCTAAAGAGAGTGTAGAATGGTTGAAGTGTCATTCGAATACACAGACACACACACACACACTTGTCATTCCTAATGCTATGCCATAGCTTTATGACCTGTGAATTTCCCTCATTTTCAACTTTTCAGAAATGCCAACTATAGCACTCAAGAAACAGCCAAACCATAAAAGCTCAGATATGAATTGATAACGTGCGTACAGCCATTTATACTAGTTATGCCCCAGAGGAAAACATAAACATAACCTCACATTACTTTCTTGTTTGTTTGTTTGTTTCAAGACATGTTTTCTCTGTAGCTTTGGAGTCTATCTTGGAACTAGCTCTTATAGACCAGGCTGGCCTTGAACTCACAGAGATCCTCCTGCCTCAGCCTCCTGTGCTGGGATTAAAGGCGTGAGCCACCACCGCCCAGCTCACATTACTTTCTTTTCAGTGTTAAGAATCACCCAAGGTCCCTGAGTGAGCTAGTGTTACTGGAGGTCAGGGTCAGGGCTGGGTATTTCCAGGTTCTCTGTTTAATATATATATTAAATATAAGTAATATATGTATACATATTGTGTGTGTGTGTCTGAGTGTCTATATATGCACTGCATATGTGTATGAGCCCTCAAGGTTCAGAAGAGGGCACTGTATCTCCTGGAACTAAGTTGTAGGCAACTGTGAACAGCCATGTGTGTGCTGAGAATCAAACCTGGGTGACCTCCAAGAGAAGTGAGTGTCTTTCATCACTGAGCCATCTCTCCAGTCCAGGGCTCCCAGATTCCTGGTATCTTATTCAAAGCACTGGAACAAGCACAACCAATTTGCTAAGAAACACAGAAACTGTCTGAAGCAGAGATGAGAATACACTGGAGTCGTGGGCCACACAGGTAAGGATATGCAGGGGCCTGGTTACTATTTAAGGCTTTCTTTTATGGAGGTTCAAGAGAAGGAAAAGGCCAGTAAGGTGGTTCAACCATTTAAAGGTGCTTGCCACTAAGTCTAGAAGACTCAAATTTGATCCCCAGAACTCACCTAGTAAGAGAGTCCAACCCTTGGAAGCTGTTTTCTGACTTCCACATTCATGTTGTACTATATATATGTTTTTGTGTGCATGTACACACACACACAAACACACACACACACACACACAGATGTCCTCTGACCACCCAGGTACACATGGTAAGTACACATGAATGCGTATGTAATTAATCCTTTTAAAATGGAAGCTGAGTTCTAAGTTTATCTAAGGCTACAGCTTACTCTCTACAACTCTTTGAATCTCCCTCACACTCTCTGTGTGTCTTACTTTCTCACACATAATATATAGCTTGCTACGATTAACTTATTATCAAGAATAAAGCATATTTTTACTTTTTTTACCATACTGCGATCAAGAGAAAATCTCAAATCCAAGATCAATTTCCAGGAGACACCCCAATGAGTGGGCGTCCTGCACAGTTTGCCAGTAGAATGTTTGCACGTCACGGAAACCGTTGCTAGGTGAATGCATCACAGATGAGCAAGGAAGGCAGGGGCTCTCCCTGAGTGGCAGTTACACTATGGTTATTGTCCTAACTAAGGAAATAAAAGCAAAAGTTTTTTTTCATTGAGTATTAGTGAATAAGACAAACCAAATAAGTAAACAAAGAACAAGGCTTAAGAAAGTGATCCCACCAAAGTGAACACACACCCCATCATGAGCATCCTGTTTGGAGGCTTTTGTGGTGTTCTTGGGATAGATCAAGTGGTTACACTCTGATAGGTATGTATATCCGTGTGTGTGTATATATATAGTATATATGTTATATATGTATATATTATATATGATATATATAAAACATGATCCTTAAGAGGATAGAAAATGATAATTCTATTTGTTATTCCTAAGAAAAAGATGATTTATCTAAAAAACTGGAAATTTTACTCTAAGAAAATAATTTCACAGAAGTGGAAGTTTGTTCCTAATATGTGTATATTCTTGATGCTAAAATAGCAAAGAACACACCCCAAATATTAAAGAGTACTGATAGCCTGATCTCATTCCAAGTTCTTAGTTAAGGGTGGAGCCTGGGCAGAAGTATTTTCGAAGTTAAAAGGCCATTTAAATGTAAATTTAGAACTGAAAATGATTGCCCACTGTCATTATTTATGGACAATAAAAATTAAGCAGAGCCAGTGATAGTTGCTTGGGCCAAATCCTTGCTTTCTCTCTTACATTCCAAGCCCCTTTCTTGAGTCAGGTTTCTCTCACATCAGATGCCCAGAGAAGCTTCTCTTACCACACTTGCAAGCACAGCATCCACGCTGAGGATGTGGCACAGTGGCTGAGTGTTTGCCTACCATGTGTGTTGTGTGAATCTCAACCTTCAGCAGTGCCAGATGAAAAGCTAAAAAAAAAAAAAAAAACCCAAACCTAATAATTTCCCCATTTCCTCTGTCATCACCACCTATCCCTTTAGCTGAGATTTTGTTTTGTGTTTTTCTTTGCCTGTTTTTCAAGACATGTTTTCTCTGTGCCATCCTGGCTGTCCTGGAACTCACTCCGTAGACAAGGCTGGCCTCGATCTGACAGAGATCCTCCTGTCTCTGCCGCCTGAGTGCTGGGATTAAAGGCGTGCGCCCCCATGCTTGGTTGTGGTTGGAAAGAGCAGGTCCTCT